CAGTGGTTGATTGATTTTACCCTTGTGACGTATTGTCTCTATGCGGAAACTGTTGAGCCACAGAGGCCTCGGGGCATCGTTATATCTTATTAGACTCTGCGGTCAACGTACACGCAAGCGTTCAAGTGGAGCCTCTATCGGCGTTCCCGCGAACTCGTTGCAACTGGAGCGGATAGTATATTACATTACTTACTCATATATATATATATAAAATATGTGTGTGTGTGTGTGTGTAGAGAGAGAGAGATAAGAGGGATATTTGCTGAATTTGCCTGAAGTAACTGAGAGAAGTAACCCTGAATATGAAGGCAGTACATTACTCCGAAATTTCAGTAATTTTAGCTTACTACATGGCGTCAAATATCAGATATCAGTAATCATAATAACTGTTGTAGTTTTAGCCTGAAGATGAAGATAGTAATTCCCTCAGAAATTTCGGAAGCCTATCTACCAAACTCTACAAAAATCTGTTAAACTTAATTGTCTGGAATGGTTCCGTTTCTGGACTATCTCACTTGCTTAGTTTCCTAAATAAAGTTTCAGAAACTGTCTGTTTGTGTCCTCAGCTTAAAGGGTAGGGAGACACCTAAAGCTAGTGCTAATTAGTGGACATTCATTTTTCTTTAGAAGTGCAATGATTTTTTCAATTGACCTAATACTTCCAGCCGCACTATGACCCTGGGCTGAGCCTCTAACAGAAATGAATACAAGGAGTCTTCCTGAGGATAAAGAGCGGCCGACGTGTATGGCTGACAACCTCACAACTCTCTAGAAAATGTGGGATCCTCGACGTCTCACAACACGGCCTGTTACACGGATAGCTTTACCTTTTTAAGAATGCTATATGATGAAACCCAGTAATCCCAAGTTCAATGGAGCATCATCACAACTCTTTGGAATTTACTTCTATCTGCAACAAGTTATAAAACACAACAGCGGACACTGACGATGCCTACAGGTTGCACAATGGAGACGCCAAAGTCACTCTTACTGTGTTTACTCTCTCACAATACAGCTCAATTAAAGTCCATTTCAAAGTACGCACTCTTGTATTTGCTTGAAATGAGGCTTTTATTGTCTACACAGTAAAGATTAACTCTGTGCTACCCTCTGTTGTACGAATGACTGAACTAAGTTGCCGTTTGTTATCGATTAAGTTAGCATGCGTGTGGAAACAATTGATACGCATGTGCCAAATCTTCTGAATATCGACCGCGGCTCCAGCTTTATAAAATATTAAGGAGAGATGACATAATTATAATGCAAATAAGTTTGAGGTAAAGCGGGTATATAACGGCAGGTTTCGAGGTAAATGTATTGTAATATCCTGACATTCCCATTCATCGTCAGCATATATCTTCTGATAACATGTTATCTGTGTTGTGAATGAATAGCATTTAAGTATGCAGCCACACAATTAAGAGGTAGATTTAAAAAAAAACAGCTTAAATACCTATAGAAATGGCCGCGCCATAGCTCAAGCGGTTAGTCGCTGGCTTCCCACCGCGGCGGCCCGGTTTGATCCCGGGTCTGGTCAAGTGTGATTTCTGGTGGACAAAGTGGTGCTGGGGCAGGTTTTCTCCGAGTTCTTCGGTTTCCCCTGCCAATCTTCATTCCACCAATTGCTCCACAATCACACTCACCTATTATCTGGGGCTGGTACAATCGGCCAGAAGTTGCCGCAGTACAAGGGACTTAGTCCCACCCCACTAGTAATAAAAAAACTATAGATATGTCATAGCCCAGAAGGATGAACGCTTGTTTCTCATTGCAGAGACTCCTGTTCTAGTTTATGTGACTTAATGTAACATCCGTGACGGATGAATTGGCAGGTGACCAAATTATTTCCGTATTCCCCCGGATTTACCCTACCAATTATCATTAAATCTATGCTCGACATTAATCTTTCGCTACCCTCTGAGGTGCGCGATAACACTCATCAGGCAGCACATTATCGCATTCCTAGATTTTAAAGCCGAGGGCTTCATTTCTGTTCTTGTAACTTGGTTGGACTCTAAGGTAGTTTCTCTCTAAGAAAATATAAATTTATGGCCCCAAAATATCCGCTCAAGTTATTGTTAGCAGTAAAATATTCAGTGATGTTTTCCGCATATGAAATAATGTCTCAGATAAATGTCATCCCAATTTTAATAACAGATGTCAGTGATATTAATGGTTCAGTATGTTCAACAATTTTAGGTTATGATTTGTCTGTTACGTCATCGTACATTTATTTTGTGAGGTATTCCATTTCGCCATCAGTAGCTGTATTATACATTTCTAATGGTAGATGAATGATGAATTGCAAAGGACTTGGAAGGAAGTCGCTATGGCTTTTTGGTGTTATTATCCAAACATTTGCCTTGAGGGAGTAATGAGCACAAAGGAAAAGCTCAGTCAATATAACTGATTTCCAGCCCGGGATTCGAAAGGGAACCTGCATAATAAATTTTAGTGCTTCACTTCTTGGTGTCAGTCACTTGTTAGTATAAACACTAGGGAAAACCTCAGTCAAGATACTTATGCCCAGTTGGGGATTGGAACGGGGAACCTACAGAATACTTCTTGGCACGGCGGCCACTGATGGGCCTATTGTACCTGCCCCGGGTAATTATGATGATGATGGATAATTTGGTCGAATGAAGATTGGTAGGAGAAACCGAAGTACTCGGAGAAAACCTACCCCAGCGCCACTTTGTCCACCACAAATCCCAGTTGATCAGACCCGGGATCGTACCCGGGTCGCCGTGGTGGGAAGCCAGCGACTGACAGCTTGAGCTATGGCGCGGCCTCACTTGTTAGTATAAATACTATTTTGTTATAAATAGAAATTACATTTGATTAAATGACTTACCGAATCTAGGGTGCATGATAGCAATTACAAAACTGGTAATAAACGTCCAACAAGGCTACCGACAGGTATATAATGGAGTTATTACCCTACGCAGTGGCTTAACCCGATCGCTGCCTGTACTATTACTAGCCATTTGACATCGTTTAAAAATAACAATATAAATGAAGCATTTAAGACGATTATTAGATTTTTCAGATTAGATATTTTCATTGTGTCTTCACATTGCTGATTGATGAGGAACTGTAAACCAACTGTGATGACCGTTACCTCGTTAGTAATTCACACCTGCATCCACAGCAGAATGGAGCTGTGTAAGCTTTGCTAATAATTAAAAGCGGCGCTACATGTAGTTGAGTCTCCAAACACTAGATGGCAGGAGTAGCTACAAAGTTTTGGAAATCAATAATAGCATTTGGTTACCGTGTCAGCAGTTAGAAACATATCATGTGATTATTTATTTCGTCACAAATTTTTACATGCTGACTTAAAGTGTTTTTGAAATAGATTTGTCTATGAGAGTTCTAAACTACATTGAAAATTTTTATTGTAAGACAAAACTACATATTTTTAACCTCAGTTCTTCTGAAATACAAGACTAACTGATTCACTAGAACGGGGTCCTTGAGGAGTTAATACTTGTACTTCTGGTAAAGTAATACCCAGCATTTTATGAAACCCGGAATTTTGTCGCCGTGTTCACAAAAGCCTTCCACTGGTCCCTGTTCTAAGTCAGATGAAACGACTTCACAAACCTCATACTATTTTTAAAACCATTTTAATATTGTACTCCAATCTATAAGGCAGCACAGGGTAACGTAGTTGGTTGAGGCATTATGCTATAGGCCTGAAGGTCCCAGGTTCGATTTCAGATAAGGTCATGGGATTTTTAATCGACCTAATCCTTCCATCTGCAATAAGGCCCTAGCTTCTACTCAGTCTCTAAAAGAAATGGGTACCTGGAATCTTCTTGGGGGTAAAGGGCGGCCGGGCGGTGCATAAGGTTGAAAACTCACCGCCATCTCTAAGCCGATTGTCTAGATAATGTGGAGCTCTCGACGTCTCACAAACCATAATCCAGACACGGAGGGCCGCGCCATAGCTCAAGCGGTTAGTCGCTGGCTTCCCACCGCCGCGACCCGGGTTAGATCCCGGGTCTGGTCAAGTGGGATTTGTGGTGGACAA